TATTTATATTATAAAAACTAAGTAAATAAACCTATATTATTAATATTATATATATAAAAATAAGGTATTAATTAAATTAAAAATCGCATAATATAATTAATAAATAATATATCTATTATTTCTTTAGTTTTATATATATAAAAGAAAATAGAAATAGTATTAAAAAGATTAATTTTAGCTAGTACTTTTACTAAATAAAATATACTAGATCTGGGCCTTATAGAAAAGAAGTATTTAGCTAGAAAAGAAAAAGCTAATAAAATTATTTAGAAATATAAGAAGATTACTATAGAATAAAAAAAAAAAATATTGAAACAGATAATAAAAATAAAGCTCGGGTAGTTAATATAAGATATATTAGGCTAAATAAGTCTTAGAGAAATAAATATTAAAAAATAATATAAAGGTTTAAAGCTAATTACTAGAATATAATTAATTAGAAAATAAAGGCTATTAATTATAATTTATAGGGAAAATAAGAATTATAATAAGCTAAAACTTTATAGTTCTATATATATGAGAAATTTTTTATATATTATTAGTTTTTATATATTATTTTTTCTTATCTAGTAAATATATTAAGGGAGAATTAGATAAGCCTAGCTAAATGAGTAATTAGTCTAATCTAAAAATAAAAATAAAAATAAAAAACTATTATAATACTAATTAATATAAATTATATTAATTAAAACTATATTATATATTATAGAAATTAATTATATATTTTCAAAATTGTAATATTTTTATTATTAAGGAAGTTATAATATATATAATTAAATAAGTAAATATTTTTTTATTTTATATAATTGCTTTTGTTTATTTTAGTTATTATATAATTACTTTCCTAAATTAATTACTTTTCTATAATTATATTAATATTTTAATAATTATAAATCTAATTAAGTATTTCTTTTATATATTTCTAATAGCTATCTCTATAAGCCTTTAGAAATACAAGCGAGCTAATTTAATTCTTAATTTAATTATAGTTCTTACTATAGCTAAAAAAGCTATAATTCAAGTAATTATTAATAAATAATATAAGAAATTCTCTAATATAAAGAATAATTCTAATGAATTAGATATTAAATAAAGTAATAAAGTAAAGCTTAAAGATTCGATTCTTTTTTAGGCTTAATAAAAGCTTATTATTAGTAGTAATAAAACAATTATTTTAGAGAAGCCTATATTTATATAATAAGAATAAAGACTTATAAAATAGGCTAGTAAGTTTCTTATTTTATTTTCTTATTTTTATATTATAATATAAGTATACTAATATTATTTTTAGCTTCTAGAGGCTTATATATCTCTAAATTAAGAAAGGAATTAGTAAAGCAATTAAGAACTTAATAAAAACATATATATAATTAGAAAGTAAAAGATATTCTAGTTATAAACTAATCTAGTAAGCTCAAAATTCCTATAATTATATTATTTTTTAAATAAAAGAAGCTATAATTCAATATTATTAGAAGACTAATTAATATTCCTAAAAATATATAATTAAAGGAAAAGTAAAGGCTTAAAGATAAAAATAATAAAATAAACGAGCTACTTTTAAATACTTTTATTAGAATTATATATAGAGATAATAAAGCTTTAAATATATAAATAATTTACTAAAAAGTTCTTAATAATATAGATATTAAGCTAGCCTAAATTAAAGAGCTATATACTTTATATATAATTACTAATTTATATTTATTCTAGAAATATACTTAATAGCTTTTAAAGCTAGGGCGGGCAATATTAACTTAGAAGAATTAATATATTACTTTTAGTAACTTCTAGTAATATGGTGGGGTTTTTTCTCTCTTGTCCCGTGACTACCGTCACGTGTCCTGCTTCCCAGGCATGCTGGCGCTAGTTTAAGGGGTTGCATAAGACCTCCGTCCATACGTACGATTAGCCTTCCCAATACATCAACCTTCGGAGCCCCTTATTTTTGACCATTCGTATTATTTTATTACTGGTGCTGAGAGTCTCAAGATTATTACTTCTACTTATTTAGCTTCCTACCCTCTTTACCTCCACCCACGCATCCAACGCCTATATATGGTCCGAAATCCATATAACAATCAAATCCCCATTACAGTAATTATTATTTAAATAATAGAAAGATACTAGTTTAATAAATTAGAAGGCTATTTAATTATTATTATTAATAATAATATAATATTCTATAAGAAACTAGGAATAATAAAAGAAATAATATCTCTAATTTAGATAATAAGGATATTTTTTAACCTATTATACTTAATTAATTAATTAAAAGCTTGAAATAATATTACTAAATAATTTTCTAAATACTATTAATTAAGAGATTTTACCTCGATTATTAATAATAATAGAAAAGCCTATTACTTATAATATAGCTTATTTATAGCTTTCTAAACTCGGCTTCTATTATTATAAAACTAAGAAAGGGCTTTATATAAATAGATATAAATAACCTAATATAATTTAGTATTATTAAAAAATGTTTTTACTATTAATAAAAAAGCTTTTATTATATATAGTTTAATATAAGAAAAATAAAGCTAATATATAATACATGATTTAATCTTTACTTTTAATTAAAGTTCAGATATATATAATATACTTTTATAATAAGAGCTATTTCTATAGATTTAATTATAAAAAGAGTCTCTGGCTTATAAATAGTTAGTAAAAAATGCCCGGAAAGAGTAAAAAAAGGCTAATTTGAAATTCTGAATTTATAGACTCTAAAAAGTATATTAAAATATTAAATAATAAAGGCATTTTTATTCCGAATAATCCTAATTTAAATACTTATTAAATTATATATTTAAACTTAAATAGGGACTTCTAGTAAAATATAAAATAGCTATTAGTACAGATTACTAGAATACTTAATATATTTAAATAAAAGTATCCAAATTATATAGCTATTTTAATATTTAATTAGTCTTTTATATATGCTTTATATAATAAAAATATACTAAATATCTTTAGTATAAATAAAATACTAGAAGGAATTAAAAAGAGTAATATTAAGACCTATAGAAGAAATATATACTTTTTACTAAAATATATAATTCCGGGATTATAGGGCAGTATTTAAGTTTTTTAATAACTTAATCCGAATAGAAAAAGAGAGCCTAAGGGCGTGAAATAGATTCTTATTAAATAAGGTTATAATATATCTAATTTAAGATTTAAATATTTAAAGAGTACTAAGTATACTATATCTCTTAAATATTCTTCTATTATTAAATAAACGTACTATTTAGCTCGTATACTATTAAACTACTAAGACTTCTTTAAAAAGAAGTTTCAAGTTAAAGAGCTTATTATAGATCGGGAATATAAGGCTATATTTTTACCAAAGTTCTATTATAAAATTAACCTAATTAAGATATATTAGAAATATAGCAAAACTCGATATTATTAAGTAAAAAAGACTAGCTTTCCAGATACCAAGATTAAGATAATAGAGGCACTTGAAGCTTATTTAATTGAGACTATATAAAGGTTTTATAATTATATATTTTATTAAATAGATATATATTAGAAGGAATTAAGTATTAAATAAGCTACTTGGTATATACGAAAGCAAAAATGCTATAGAATAATATCTAAAAAGATAATAAATAAATGGGATAATATATAAAAGTAAGGGAAAAAAGGTAGCTAAATAATAAATAAGGTTTATGGATTTAATTTGGCTAAAAGTTAGCTCGAAACCTATATAATTAGGGCCCTATTATATATATAATATATATAATACTAGAAAAAGCTATATTTAGTATTTAGAAAGGTTTACTTAAGCTTATAGGGCTTAATTATTATTATTATACTAATAATAAGGCTGGTAAGATGCCGCGATCTTCCCCTAAAGTCCAGGCTCATGTAACCTTAGCAAGCAAATATATTTGTGTTTTATAGGAAAAATCAAAAAAGTAAAAAGGGTCCGTATACTTTAAACCTCGATTATTAATGAACCACAAATAGTATTAAAAATCTAATTAATAGGTGTTTTTCGCCTGGTTCTATTCTATAATCGCATTACTTAGTATTAATTAATTAGGGTTGTGGTTAAAAAGTTATTATGGGCGTAAAAGAGCGACCGTTTTGTCGCTTTTGGATCGGACCGACTGTACTTTCTGGCTGCTGGTCCTAGCTGGTTGGTACCGCAAATTTAGCGAGGGACATCGCTTTTGTGGCCCAATCGCTCGTGTAGCCCAATCGAACCACCAATGGTAACCAGTGGAAGGTACGAACGTGGACAATCTCACATAATTCCGGTAATGGAGCCAGTCGGGGCTTGAGGTTTAATAATTAGGGGGTACAAAACCCGCATTTAATTGACTCACGGCAATCTCTGAGGGACTTATTGGCCACCGGCAACCGCCGAGAGGTCAGAGTGACGTCCTCAACTTGCCAGCTCAGTGTACTGTGTCGGTTTCGGCTGGACAGTGTCTCAACAGTTAATTTTCCACTCACACAGTCGCTGGGGCGCAGACTATAAGCTACAATATTAGGGTGCCTGTGGTTCTGGGTATGTAAATCTGCAATGCCGAGTTCCGAATTTCTGACTGTTTCAGTCCGTGTATGAAGGAGGATCGTGAGAAATATCAATGGGGTTTTGTCCGGTCGACAGATCTCGGCACTAAGCTGTGCCACCTTTCAATTTCAATTGAAATGGAATAAAAGATCGGGTTTGAAAAGAGCGCAAGACATCGATGCGGACATTACCTTATTTAATTAATCTAACTTAGTGCTTGAATCAGGGTTCCGCCGAAAAGTCTCGATGTGGTTTGGTTGCGCACTGCGCGGAAACTGAGGCCTGTGCTTCCCGCTTAGGTCATTCCGGAGTTGTGAAAGGGTGATCTGGTGCAAAACCACTCTAGTCAGTCAGCTGAGTCTGGAGGTAAGCACAGCTGTCCAGAGGCTGTGTAAATGCTGACCAAGTCAGCATCGCTTCGTAGCGCGGGATGCATCACGTGAGAGCTTCATGTATAAAGACGGCAAATTCCCAGTAAGGTGGTGCGACCCGTCCCCGTAAGGATCATTTCTGCTTGATATTCTATTCTGGCCTTCTCAATCCGTATCAAAGCGCTTTCCACTTGTCGCCCACCATGACAGATCAAGGGTACTTAGAACAGCCCGACCTCCACGTCAAGGCACCATTCCGCGCGGCACTCTTAACACAACCGGGGAACTTGCGCGAAGCTCTCCGCCAAGCCGTTGCAGATCCTACTAAGACGCTTTTCGGTGTCGGTCACGGAATTCCGAGTACTTTTGTAACTAAGGTAGGAGCTCGAAACTTGAACGTCCCTTGCTTCATATTAATTTGTCACTCTCCAGTTGATTGCATCTACAAAGCCCGACTTCATATGGATCGATGTCGAGCACGGCATGTTCAATCGTCTGACACTTCATGAGTAAGTTGCAACCTGTCAATTTTAACCACAGAAACCATATACTTACTCATGTATCTCTTTTCAGTGCTATCCATGCAGCTCAACACCACTCCGAAGGCAAAGCCATGATCATCGTCAGAGTCCCGAAGCACGACGAAATCAGCTTGACAACTGCACTGGACGCGGGCGCAGCAGGCATAGTGATTCCTCACTGCGAAAGTGCCAAAGAAGTGAAACAGGTCTTGGAGGAAGCATATTATCGTGAGTATCTTTCACTCCGCGTTTCAAGAGAAACACTGGTTGATGTTAATGACAGCCCCAATTGGAAAGCGATCTTTTAGTCCATGGACTTTCACACCCGGGATCTCGGATACTTCACTGTATAAGGGTGATCCTTTCAACATGGGCACTTCGAACCGTCATACTGCCGTCTTCGCACAGATTGAAAGTGTCAAAGGCGTGGAAAACGTGGACGAGATCGCAGCGCTTGAGGGCGTTTCTGGGTTGATGTTCGGTCCCGGAGACTATCTGGCGGATGCTGGACTACCCATACAGTTCGGCGGAGAGCCTCACCCTACCTTTGCAGATGCTTTCGGTAAATTTGTCGCCGCTGGTATGAAACACGGCAAGCCTCTAATCGGGTGAGTTTTCCCTGCTTATGCTTCTCTCTCATGGCGTTCTCTAACTGTGATATAGTGCCGCTCTGGCCCCAGAGATGATTCCAGGGATGATACAGCAAGGCTTTCGGGCGATTGCTGTTGCCTTTGATGTGTGGGGATTCGCAAATTTGGTTGATGGGGGTATCAAGAAGGGAAGAGAATTTGCTCAGCAGGCGGGTGAAGCTAACGGGGTAGTTGAAGTAAATGGAACGGCCGAAGCAAACGGAAAGGCTAAAGCAGACGGAAAAGCTAAAGCTAACGGACCGGCAAATGGCAAGGAGCCTTCGTCGAAGATTGAGTCTGATGTGGTCGTTGTTCTAAATAACTAGAGGGGGAAAGACGACCAAGCCAGTACGCTTGTTTTGTGAGTAATTTTTTAGATAGCGCCTAGATAGTTATAGATAGGAATTTCTGTCTCTGCTATATAGGCTGGCAAAGTCGAACCCAGACCTCCTCGTAGTGCGTGCCGGGGACTGTGACGGCGGGATTAAGGCAATGGTCAAAAGGGCTCAAAGTTCCGAGAATACTAAGCTAAAGAGAAGAAGGAGAGAGAGGGGTGGGGAGGGGATAGAAGGAGGGAAATACTAGCTGAAATCACTGAAACGCCGGCTAGCTAGGTGAAACTAGTCATGTGACAACCACCCCCTTATGACCATAGCCAGCGCCGTCACAGGGACTCTATATAGTTATTTTATACAAATAGCAAAGGTTTACTATAACCATAGCTTATGTAATAATCAGAGTTGTAATCGTTACTATGCAATGCGAAACGGCCTTTGTTACAACTTCTCTTAATTCTTAAGAGGCTATAGCAGCCCTTTTTCTTCTTCTTTAATATTATTATTATTTAGGGCTCTTAAAACTAGGGCAAGAATACTTTAATAGTTTTTAAAGACTTTATTTTGAAATATATTTATTCCAAAGCTAAAACCTTATTATATTCTTAATTCTAATATTAGTCGAGTTTTAATGCACTCTAATCCTTAATAGTAGCGGGCTGTTTTGACTGAAATATAGTCGTCGACTCTCTAGCATAAGCACGCTAATTTTGAAATTTTGGGTTGCTAAATTTCAGTGCCATACCCTCTAATTACAGGCTCCTTACAGCCCAATAGAGTCTCTAGGCTCTTGAATTTTAGCTCAGACTGTGTTCGTCCTTGAATTGAGGAGAGCTGTTATACGCCTTTACAAAAGGGAATCAAGGCAGAAACTTTACTAGCATTAATTAATGATAGATCAGGCTCACGTGGGCCTAATAAGGGAGAGTGACTTCGCAATGCTATCCTGATTTCTTCAGGGGTTTGTAATACACTTTTATATCTTCTACTTCACACTCAGTATCAAATTATGCAGTTTTCCATTATAATTATCAGTCCTGTATTTGAAATTTTGCGAAAAACTTCTACTCAGACCCCCCCCGAATCTGAGCAGCCTCGTTCGAGAAGGCGCTGTACTAGTAACGATTCTTTTTGATTCTTTGGAAAAGGATTCTTTCTCATTCCATTACTTAATACAGGGCTGGCTGGGCTGCGTTCACTGCTTGGACTAGCTTACTACCATAGTTGGAACAAGTAATGTCTTCTCATCAGGACTGAGCGCGAACTCGCGTGAGAAGAAGCCCATCGGAATTCGAGGGAAACCCTGCTACCCTGCTAGCTACTGAGTGCGGCTTCGACATTAACAATAGTAAGGCCAATGGAGGTATTCTTATAGTCGAATCTGTTCGGCTCCGCAGTTACATTATATCGCCCGTAATTAACGAAAATAGGGCCAGCGGGAGATGTGCCGACTTGCACGCTTGTAACTAGTGTATCGGACAAGGTGGGCTCGAACTTTTTGGCGTCGAACGCAAGAATCATATTACTATATCGCGCCGTGACCTCAACTTGCTTTCCGTTATGAGAAACTATGACTCAGACCTGTCCGCAACCTGTGTCGACCGTAGCAAGAAGAGCGGCGGATAGATTATTTTCTAGTATTTCGATATCGAGAATACTTAGTATATCTCCTGTCCGTAGCCTTGGTAATAATATGACTAGTTATATAGGGTCTTCTTTAATTAAGTAATAATACGCTACCAATAACTAAAAGGCCTCGTGGCATATTCAGGATTTTACCTTATATGTTTCTAGAAGTTAAACCTGTTTTCTCAGGTATTATTATGGTCCGGGAACTAATCTTTAATTCTCTCTAAGCTAGGCCAGGGTCATAATAGTTAGGGCCTGGTACTAAGTTTAGAGGCTGTGAACTAACTTTAATTAATATAAATATAATAATTTATAAACTAGGCTCTTATAATAAATTTATAATATAATAACTATTACTTATTTTAGTTAAAATAAAACAAAAATTCTAATTTAAAAATTCTATTAGTAGCTTATTCCTTTAGTAAATATTAATTACTTTATAGTAAATTACTATAAATATTAAAGGTTTTATAAGCCAAAAAATAAAATATTAGGCCTATTATTTTTTTTACTGGTTTTCCTAAGAATATAAAATAATTTGTCTATAAATTTCTATATTTCTGGCTTTATAAATAAAAAATATAATAATATATTTATTATAATTAATTAATTATTTAAATAATATATTAGCTTATTAATAATTAAGAATATTACTACTAGAACTATTATTAGCTTATTTTATTATTATATTTAGTAATTTCGAGATTAACTAGAATTAAATTAAAATTCTTAATTATGAAATATATCTAAATTAATAAATAAACGGAAATTATTTATTAGATTATTAATACTTGACTTTATTTCTTTATTAATTACTTTTATAATAATTAGATAAATTTATTTCTAGTATTTGATATTATAAGTACTACTTATATATATAAGTTAATTAGCTTATTTCTTTTAATAATTAATTACAAATATAAATCCAAGCTAAATTTTAATTAAATACTATTAATAATAGAATTTAAAATATTAAAAAAGAAACTTAATTAGGAAAAAATATAATAATAAACTAAAAGAATTAATATTATTATTAATTATACGCGAAAATATATAATAATAGCTTAGAATTATTAAGCTAAATAAGCTAATAAGAAATAATAAAAACCAGATTTTAGTTTAGAAAATATAGTTTATATAATTAAAAAAATATAAAAAACAAATTACTTATTTAATAAATTAGATTATTCTTTTACTAAATTATTTAAAATTAATAAAATAATAAATTACTTATACTAATTAGATCTTTTCTTATTTTATAGAATTTGGTTAATCTTTTATACTAATAAACTTTATAAGAATTCTACTAATTTATTACCTGGCTAAACTAATAAAAAGCCTAATTTTATTAAAATTAATAGTAAACTCGAATAAAAAATCGAGAAAATTCTTTCTTTTAAAATATTTTATAATAAGCTTTATTATAAAATTAAATAAAAGAAATAAAATATAAATAATAAATAATATCTTATATTAAATTTTAAGAACTTAGTATTTAAATTATATAAATTTTATAAGTAAAACCTTAATAAAGCAGAATTTTTTATTTAACTAAATAAGTAAATTTAATATATTAAAGAAAATAAATTTAATAAAAATTATTTAGATAATAATAAATCTTAATAATAAGGCTTTTATAACTAGATAAAAAAAAGAAAAACCTAAATATTTTCCGGGTTTTAGCTAAACTCTAATATATTTATTTTATTTTATTATATTAGTATTTATTCTCTTTTCTAGAAATTTAAGCAAAATATTTTCCTTTATTATCTAGGCAAATTACCTAAAAAGTGAATTTCAAAGCTAAGCTAAAAGTAAATACTTATTTACATTAGTTTAAAATATTATTAAAAATCGAAAGAAATTTTTCTATTTATTTTAACTATTTATACTATTACTATTATTTTAATAAAACTATTAATAAAAATAGAACTTATAGGAATTCCGGTAATATATTATCTAAAACCGAACTAAATAAGACTATTTACTAGATTTCAATTAATTAAATAATAGTAATAATATTTCAAGTTTAATAATTATAATTATTTATAATATAATTATTAGCTAAATTACTTTTATAAATGAAAATAATAATTTTTTTATTTAAAAATAAATTAATATATAAAATATAACTCATATTATTATTAAAAATATATCTAAAATTATTATATAAGCGATTTTAATAAAGTTTTCTAATAATAGTGAAATAAAGAATCTAGCTACTAGTAATAATAAATTAGATAGTTTAATAAGCGAAATAAATAATATTAAAAAGAAATACTAATATATTAATTCTATTAAACCAGGTATTAAAAAGATTAATAAGAATAAAAATAATATATTTAGAAAATATAAGATATTAAAAAGTAGTAAGAAATTTAATAAAAAGAAGTTTATTAATAAAAAGAACTCTAATAATAATAGAAATAGCTAAACTAGTATTAAAATATTTATTATAATTAAGAAATATATAGTATTAAATAGTAATTATTATATAAAGTACTAGTTTGAAATTAAAAACTAGTAAATAATTCTAAAGTCCAAAATAAAGAATAAATGCCTTATAAATATTAATGAATTAGTAAATAATATTATTAGCTAAATCGGAAAGCTTCTTAGAAGCTTTTATAAGAAAAAAATCTTAAAGCTTAAGGCCCGGGAATTTAATAATAAAATAGCTAAAATAATTAGTTTTAATATATAAGTTATTTACTAGAATAATTAACTCGAGAAACTTTATATTAAATTTATAAAGGCTTAAAGGCTAATTAAGTAATTCTAGAATAGCTTAATTAAATAAAATAATAATTAAATAAAATAAAATAATAGTTTAATTAAATAAAATAATAGTTTAATTAAATAAAAAAAATGATTTAATTAAATAAAAAAATATTATCTTAAATAAGAAAAAAGATAAATAAACTATTATATTAAAGCCTGCTTTAATAAATAAACTTAATTTACTATTTCTATTTAAAGATTACTATAATAGATATATATAATAATATATAAATAAGTATTAGATATTATAAATCTAGTTTTCTATTTTAAATAAAGCTTATAATCGGAATTATATAAATTATATAAAATAGTATTTCCTAATTAAGTAAAGGGTTATATATATTTGGCTAAATACTAGGAAATATATAAGGAAATACTTCTAGTTTAGAAAAGGAATATTAATTAGTTTTTATTAGAATTAATTCTTGAAATTAGTTATATTTATAAATATTATTTTATAGTTTATTTATTTTAATTACTTATATATTACTCTATTATTATATATCTTATATTCTAATTAATTTAATTTTCGGAAAGTAGTTTATTATAAGATAATTAAGCTATTAATAAATAAAATTATTAATAGCTAGAATATTAACTAAAAGAAATACCTTTACTATTATTAGAATAACCTAGCCAGATATCTAGAGAAATATCTAGTTAGATACTCTTTATATTATTTAATTAGAAAAAGTAAATAGAACTCAAATATTTCTAAAACTAGTTAATAAAATAATAATAATAGAGAAATTAGTAGCGGCTTATTATTATATTACTAAGTTAGAAATAGAAATATAATAAAGAAAGAATCTAGAAAAACTAGAGGCTTAAATTTATTATTTTAAAGATATTTAGATATCCGGTATAAATCCTATTATATTTTTAGTAATATTCTTAGTTTGAAATACTTTAAAAACCCGA